ACAATCATATTCATAAGTGTAAAAAGAATTATCTTAAGAAATCATCCAAGGTCAAAGAAGGAATAAATGCATTCTTGCTACTATTATGATTGAATCCAATAAGCATAAGCATATCTCAACCAAAATACAAAATCATATTCAATCAAACTAGATTCAGTGTTAATTTAATCAAGTATACTAATCCTTCCTAAGTATCTATAGTTGATTAAAAAACAATTCACAAATTCAATGACAATGCTTATTGATGATCGATAAAGAATCATAAAAAATTGTGATGACCAAGTTGAGGTAGATTCATATGAAGCCGATTATGTTGAAGAACCACAATTGAGTTTTATCTTAAGAAGCCTAAATAAATTACACCCAACCATCCTTTGGACTCTTCTATTTTTACTAAAGAACGATTACTTCATATCATTATTGTCATGAGTTTGAGCATGATTGTTCTCTCAACCCTATTCATACTTAATGATATCATGAGCACAATAAGTAATTGTATAAATTAGCCTCTCTTTTTTTTCTTTATTCCATAAATTAGCCTTCTATCTTCTAATGAAGAGGGAAAGTTATTGATTGATCGAATTCTAAAATATGTCCCTTATGTGGTGTATTAATGATATGTTGCCTAGCCAAAGCTGATAAATAATGGATCACTTTTATGATTAAAAATCCTATTTTGAAACTAACCATTATTACGTCTTATCAAGAAAATTTTGATGCAAAAGTTATTTGATTCATTTATTTACAAAATTGTACAGCTTTATTTTTCATCCTACCAATAAGTTTGAAATTTCATTTAGCTAATGAATTTGCATCTTTATTTACACATAGCAAATGTAACTTTCATCAGGAGATTAGAGTAAGGCTAGCTATCATATATATTTCATCATCAATAGTTATAAGTCACTTTATTTTGTTATATTTTTCTTTATTTTAGACTATATTTTATGTATTAGGACATGTTGTGGTATTTTATTTTCTATCATACTTTTAATTTGGGCCCATATATAATTGTTTGTTCTTTGATTCATGTTGTATTTGGACCTACATATTTGGGGGCTCTTATGATAGTTGGTCTTTGACTCCTGTCATATATGGATCTATGTGTTTGACTATTTTTTGTGTCAAGGGTCATATCTAACTTTTATTTTATAGTATTTGGAAGCATGTATGAAAATAATGATAAATTTGATGATAGGTGTAAGTCTGAAGGTAGATTTGAATTTAGTATTAGATAAAAAGTTTATAGTATGTTTTTATTTAGTAGTAGGTTTGAGTGTTTATTTTGATGCCCTTTTATATCTTCCTCCTACTCCTATAAATAGGAAGCCTCTTTTAATGTTAAGCCCTTCCTTATAAATGAAGAAGAAATCCATTGCTTCTATTTTGTCACTATGTTTTCTCCTTCCTAAGAGTATGACTTGTTGAGAGTAGGGGCTTGCAACCCTTGAATAAGGAATTTCAAGAAAAATGGATCCATTCTTTAATGGAATACTTCAGTGCTTTTAAATCGACTAGTATATAATTATATCATTATATAATCTAATTTGATGAATTGGTGAAGAAATATTTTGTAAACATTTATACTACATATTTTTTGTCTTACATCACCTTATATAACAATAATCATATATTTTATAACAATAATCATCTATACAAAATATGAACTAACAAGTGCATTTAGCCTGACTAAAGTGACATAGAAATAAAAATAAATAAGACATTAAGAATTTACAAATAGCTTGAATTAAGAAAATGGTTGATGGGAAATCATTCAATTAAAATTTTCATATTAATTTCATTAGTCATATAGCAATTATTTTAGGCCTACTATTATTTAATACCTATTGTGACAATCATCATGTAACACTTGTAAGTACATATTTTTCTTGGAATGCTAAATCTAAAAAAAAAATTATGTTTTAATGATATCAGGATCATATCAGCCTTATAATTTAAAAAATCTTAGCTTAAATTTATGAATAATTTTTAAATTTTCCACTTTGAATGCTCAATGACAATGTTATAATCCTTTTTTACTGATTAAATTAATTTTATTCATTATAACTGCATCTTCTATCTTTTTATATAAACTATCAAAATCTATTATTTTATAATTTTATTTATAATAATACTCTTCCCACAATCTATCAAACATAATAATTTCTCAATCTATTCTTCTAAATCTTTCCACAAGCCCATCCTAATTAGCATTTTCATGATAGCCAGTTCATTTACAAATTTAATATTTTTCCTTAAAATTAGTAGTATTCTGAATGGAAGATTTGAACTAAAAAAATAGATTTATTATTACCCAAGCTAGGATGTAATAAATGATTCTCCATCAAAAATATTAATTAATCTATACCTTCCTTAAGGACTAGTTGGTTGGAGGAGCCTAAACTTTAAACCCTTTAAATTCAATCAACTAGTTCATTTAGACATATTTTAAGTTATCAAATGACATTAGTTGAACTTATACTCTTTGATTTATAATGTATAGGTCTCAAGCATCAATATTACTATATTAGCAAACATAGCTATGAAAAATTTCATAAACTCTCTTTGAGTTACTATCTATAATTCCGATAAAAAATATTAATCATCGGCGGTGCCGCTAGTGATTCACTGTTTAATTGTAGTTTGTTTGTTTTTTGTTTTACTAATGAATGTGTTATCTTTTAAAAAAAAAAAAAAAATTCATATTTTGTCTTATGCCCCTATTATAAATCTAATTGACTATATCTCCATCTTACATAAATATTGTTCTTGAACCAACCAAATAAAAATATCAGATAATTTTATATCATTCAAAAAAGAAATTATACGCATTGTTTAAGCCTAAAAAATTTATAACTTATGTATCACTATTAAAGATTAAAGAAAAGTAAACTAAACGAATGATGGTCTTAACCTTAAGCACATAAGTTTGATCTCTAGCTTGTTTTAATTAAGTAAAATTAATTTAATATAAATTGAAATTTCATTAAAATAAATTTTATATATCAACATTAAGTTTATAATCAGAATCAAGCTTATATAAGCTTATATCATCAAAATAATTATATTTTTCATTTCATTGTTAATTATATTTAAATAGAGATAAATCTAAAGTTAGTTAAACCTAGCCCTAATCAAGTATAAAATTACAATTAAGCTCTTTTTTTCCCTAATTTTAGTTTTTCAATGTAGTTATATCTACCTCTTTAGGGAAAATTTGGTATCATCTTTGCAAAACAATTAAGCATGTAAAAAAAAAATGTTCTCTCTTTATCTCAACCTATAATAATTAGTAATGCTATTGTTTGGTAATGGTTGGTGCTTAAGTGGAAATCAAGCATCGTTTAAGCACCAAATGATGAAATTGTCACACTTATGCGTGAAAGATAAGCATTGTTATGCTAAGTCAATTTTATCTCACCTTATCAATTATCACTCCCTAATTATCTTTTTTATTTGGTCATTCAAGGAACATAGGCCTAGGCATAAAACTAACAATTTTCTTAGCTAATCTCAGTTAGAGCAACTTCTTTTCTTACCAAACAGACAGATTAATCTAAGTTAATTAAAGCTTAAATTAACTCAACTTTAGCTCAACCAAAAATGCCTACCAATCAAACGGCTTAACTCCACTGAAAGCTAAAGTTTGCCATCATCCTGCTAAGCTAATCTTCACCTTTAGCTTAATTTAAGCCTCATAGACAATGAAAAACAGTACACTAACCCACCCAGTTAAATCTGTGATCAATAGTGCTTAACTTAGGAGATATTCAGGCTTAGTTTTATAAAAAGAAAAAAGAAAAATCACAGCTGACAATTTCTTTTCTGTAAAAAGGGAATGAATATAGTTCAAAATGGATGTAATCGTTAAGAAATAAACTGAAACGAGTTCTTCAACAGCTACAAGATTGAAGTTACCTTTTTCTTTATATCATATCCAACTTGGATTTTCTCTTTTTTATATGGAATAACCTAATTTAGCCACCGTCTTCCTCGCTAGAAATATCCTTTTCATTTTATTTTTCCTATAAGTTTTCAGATTTTAAATTTAATTAGTAAGCATGACGAAGCAATACATTATTTATCAGGGCATTTTGAGTTAATCTATAAAAGTAACGAGGACAAATTTAATATATTAATTAATTTGTAAGTCATCTTCTTTTAATTTTTTATTTTATTTTTCATAACCTTGACTATGATAAGATAAAAAAATGTTTGCCCTTGCAAGATCAACAGAACCAACTATGAATTTTTCCTAACGAAAGATTGGCTCATTATCTTCACAGAAATATTTTTTTTTTTAGTAAAACAGACTCCCAAAGTCAGAACAACCGCAACGCATCCAAAACATGAAAATGATGCATTTCTATTATCTTTCTTAGCAAAATGAATGAGCTATAGGCTAATATTTAATACTCTCTTAAGCTTTGATTATTATTTTTTTGTCCAAGTTTATATCATCCTTCTGTCCCATCCCCCCTCACAAAAAAAAAAAAAAAAGAAACAATGAAATGCTAATGTGGCCTTTGCCAGATCTGTTTTCCTAATAGTTTGTGTTATCAGTGGCTAGCAACTTGCCAAAGGGCATCACTTAATTGTTTAAAGAGTAGGAGATCCATTTCCCTTCCCCGCAACTTCTAGTGGTAACTGCAGTCTTCCAGTTACCCTACTCTATGAGATAAGGGACAAATTTTATAAAATAAGAGCTGCACGAGCACCTGTGCCCTAATTTAGGAGACAGAATTTCCTTCTACTAGTTTTGATATCTTAAAGTAATTCATAACGATCATCTTATCTCTCATGTTTTGCCATTGAATGAAGACCCCGAAATATCCTACTTTGAACGAAGGCGCAGGAGAGAGAAAGATAAGTTTACTTCGGAAATGAAAACTCTATAAGTGTTCCTACTTTTTGTCGTTTGTATTCTAACACAAAACCAAAAATTTTACTAAGGAAAAGTAGAAAGCACATTGCAAGTTCGAATAAACTGAGCTGAAATTCGAGTAGTTTTCACTGAACACAACATGCAAGCAGCAGTTTTCATAAGTATTAATTTAGACATATTCTGAATAGACAGCATGAAATTATAAACCACAATAAAGCATAAATAGCAAAGAGCTATGGAAGAAGAAGAAGAAGAAGAAGAAGAAGAAGGAAGAGGGGCTAAGGATTACTAGTACACTGGCTCAAATGGTTAAATTTCACCGCTTACCTTTTCCAAAGCCTCTTAGCTCGATTGATCCATCATCAACCCTTTCCCTAATTGAAGTTAAAACGGCGGCCGACTCGTTCCGTTACCAGCCCACGGCCCATGCCCGCCCTCCACCGGCAGCTGGCCCGCCATATTCAACGGCAAGTTAAAGAATGATAACCCCGCCACGGACGGATCTGGAAATGGATTACCAAGGCTTCCGCTGCCGCCTCCGCTGTTTCCGTCACCGGTACCAGCTGTTCCTTGCATCGGCGGTGGCTCCTCTTCCTCGAGTGGCAACCGCTCGTACGCCACGTTCGTAAACGACGCCGCAATCACGATCACCGGCCCGGCGGCGTATAACGCCCCAACTACGTTTCCCCCCACTACCTGTCCCTGCCCTCCGGCCAGAAATATGGAGAGACTTGTCGCGCCTGGAGGCGCTGGTGGCGGCAGAAACGAACCGGATAGGGATAGGATCTCGAACCGGCCGTGGAGAGTAACTACCGAGCCGGAAGATGACGGTTGCCGGAGAATGACGTTTGTGACGGTGCCGCTGCCGCTGAGCACGCAGATGCCGCGCTGCCGTTTGCGCGCGTAAGACGCGACGCAGTCGAACACATCGCAGCCGCCGCCGATCTCGAGGATATGGGCTCGGAGGGTGTTAGCGCTCTCGCGGGTGATGATAACCGGAGGCTTCGGTTTATTTTTCGAACCCGCCGGGCGTCCACGTGGCCGCCGGCCCACTAAGTCTCCGGAAGAGGTTAACTCGAGCCCCTGTCCAGAGCCATCACCACCACTGTTCTCTCCGCCGGCGTTGTTCTTTTGATCTTCATCGGAGGATTCGGGGTTGTGGTGCTGAAGATGGAGGTCAGGGCGGAGTTGAAGTTGGTGAACGAAGCGGGAGGCGGTGCCTAGATCCAGGCCCGCCATGGTTGCATCAAAGAAGTGGTAATATGGATGGAGAAAAAAAAAAAAAAAAGTAGGCGAATGTTTAATTGAATTAAAAAAGAAAAAAAGAAGAAGAAGATCCAAATGAGTTTAAAAAGAAAAAAAAAGGAGAAAATAACAGAAACACTAGAAGTTTAGCTGTGGAGGTGGAGAGTGAGCGAATATACAAAGAACGAGGAACAATTGCAGCGAAACAAAGGGAGATGCATGAGCGACAAAGAGCAGAGGAGCGGTGCCACTCCACTCGATTATTGTATATAATAATACAAGTAAGAGAGAGAGAGAGAGAGAGGCGCGTGAGTCTGTGCGGGAAGAGAAGAGTAGTAGTGTTATGATATGATATGTGATTTAATGGTGAGCGTGATGTGGTGCTTATTAAAAATGTTATAAACTAGGGTTTATGAGGGAGGAAGAGGGCAAGTGGGAGAGAGGTTTCTGCGGCGGGTGGAGCCCACTTCCATGTGGGTGCGGCGGCTTAGTTTGGTTCGATGGGCTCGGCCAAGGATTTGAACCGGTTCGGTTCATCTCTAGCCATAACGTAAATCCTTGGCGAAGAAATGATATAGAAGATGGCTCATACTTGTCAAGTAGGAAAGCTAGGGTTAGTGAGTAATCGTATATAGTCTACTTATGTGGATTTGCTTTGGTTGGAGGTAGAAGAAGGAAGATAGGTTTGGCATGAAAAACTGCGAGCATTTATTAGGTGCACTCGGAATCTGAGGAATACAGCAATTGATTAATGTTTACTTCATTGCTGTTGTTACTGTCAATATTGCTGTTTCTCCTGCCTAACTATCTGATAGCTTGTGGGATATATTTTTTAAGGAAGTTTTATGATATTATATAAATTTGTAAAAAAAATGTATATATCTATTATAAATTAGAAGTTATATTTTATTATGCTTTTAAGAATTATTGTAAGCTCAAGTAATTTAATTAATAGTGATATTTGAACAGTTTGAGATTTGAAAAGAAAATACTATAAAGTGAAATGATAGATTTTATTGGATATTTATTTATGGTTAAATCCAGGGGTGTCAATTACGGGTCGGGTTCGGGTCGAATCCGAAAGTGACCGACCCTATTTGGGTTGACTCAAACCTAACCCATTTTTGTAAACGGATCAGTTTACTCAACCCGGACCCGACCCGTCGGGTTTCCAGGTTGACATGACCCGACACGGATATGCAGGATTTAGCTGAACAAGCACGTGAAATGGAGAAAGAAGTGTGAGAAGGGAGGAAGATAGCGAGCTCCTGTTGCTGCTTGCATACTTTCGATCCAACAGGAAGACGAACTGTCGCTACTTTCGAAGGAACGTCGTCGAAGGAGCCGAAGAAGGCTTTTTGTGACCCGATTAAAACCCTACCTCACGCCACGCGAGCTCTTGTCGCTACTTCCGATCCATGATAATGCCTAATGGCAAATGTTGACGGACGAGAGATGACGACACCTGACAGATGAGACGACAACGTGAGTTTTCGAGTTAATCCAGGTCAATGTTGGGTTTCCGCCGGGTCAATCCGAATCTGACCCATTTTTTCAAACGGGTCAACTTATTAAATCCAAACCCGTCCCGTTTGTGAAATGGGTTGACACTAACCCGGAATTTTTTGATTGAGTTTTTGGGTCGTGTCAAATATTGACACCCCACCCCTAATTAAATCATTCTAGCTAGTAGTTTTTGAATAAAATAGGCTCCAAAAAAATGAATGTTATGCAAATTAAATATATTTAAATGTTTAAAAATATTTTATATGCATTTAACTACATTCTGAATAAAACTGAAAATGGTAGAAGTGTACAAAACTATTTGTAATTTTTATCAGATAAATATCACAATATACTCCTTCAGATGATTTATAAAAATATTTTGTCAGTCACCACATCATAAAAGTTTCATAAAGTAGCTCTACTTGAGGTGTAGAGGAGCTGAGTATTACATTCCATTATGGGATCAAAATAATTAGATGCTACAAAGAGCAAGAGTCAAAATAATATTACTCAAAAGTCTTATCAAATATAATAAACATGGCACCTAAATCTATTATATAAAAAATATATAATAAAATCTTGTGATGACCTTCGTTCAACATTACAGAACATTCTAGTTATTCATTCAACAATAATAATTTTAAGCTAAAATATAATTACTAGCATAGAACATTCAACAATAGGACCATATTAATATATTCTATAACATCTATAATATATAATTTTCTTAAACATAGATCAAATTTGAAGACCTCCTATTATAGAAATTGAAAAAACTTTTAATACCTAAAACTTATTTTTTAAAAAATATAATAGATGAAATTTCAAGAAAATTGAAAATAATAAAAAAAGGTGAAGATTATCTTTAAAATCTCGAAGAAATGAAGGAAAACAATATAGAAATAAACTTGAATTGCGGTGGAGAAAATACCACTCTATTTGGCAGTTGAATTGTAATAGACTTTTTTGAGCTCCACGTTTTTTGTTGGAGTAGTTGCCTTTTTGGTCATATTTTATTTTATTTTATTTTTACTCTTTTCATAATTTTCATTCTTTCATTTATTTTCTACACTTTGAGCCCACGCTCTTAATTTAAAAAATAAAATGACAATGAAAGATGAACGGATATTTTAATAATTTGGCTCTCAAGATAAGATTAATTGTATGCCCAAATTATTGGAGAAATTATTCTGTGCGGAGATAGGACGCAAAATGTCATCCGGAAACCAATCAGAATGCGCCACGTCAGCGGTACTGAGTGCCTGAGTGACGTGGCGTATTTTGGTTGATCTCCGGATAATGTTCGCACATAATAATTAATCAAACTTCAAACTCTATTGACAGTTTTTCTTCATGTAAGTAAATCAGGTAGCAATGTATTTACTTCAATCCCGTTTGAGTTCTTACACTTGTAAAAAATATTGTTATGAAAACTTGAATAGAATTAATTGAGGTGTCTGATCACTGGTTTAATTTTAAAAAATAAGAAATTAAATATCAGTCACAATCAAATTGGTTCGTTCGTTTTTTTTTTTCTTGCATGCTCTAAATAAAATATCAACTCTATTATATTCTTAAATTTATAATACTATAATTATTCATAAAAAAAAAATAATGCTGAGTACATTGTAAGTGATTTTTTTTTTTTTTTTTTTAACTTTTAGTGTTGAAATGAAAATTTGATTCGGGAGAGATTCAGGATTTGATTGGGACAGCTTTCTCCCTGCTTCTTTGCATTTCAAGCAAGAAATACAATGTTGCTTGGCTACTAATTTCTTGGCGATTTTTTATTGTATTCATTGTATTTTGAGAGTAGAAAATTATTTTTTACAATAATAATAATTAAGTTATTTTTCTCATAATAATTTTACAATTATTTTTATAACATATTGTAACAGTCCCAAACACGATAAATTATTACGTGCATAGTCCAAACGTAGATTTACATCCGGACATGTAAATGTACAGTGTGTATAATAGTACACAATAGTATTGTACACAGTGTGTACACTCTCATAGTTTGGATGTAAAATTACGTCCGGACTCCGCACGTAATAATTTCTCCTCAAAGAGACCCTCAATCTCATAATCTTCATAATAATTTTGATGATCTTCAAAATCATAACTTCCCAACAAACAAGTTGCTGCAACATGACTATTAGCTGCTTAGTTAGTTACTGGAAGTGTTCGTATTGTATTTGGAGTTGGCAAATGGTTATTTTGCTTCAGGTTATGCTGCACATATTCGGTTTTTTGATATATGTGGGTTCTAATACCAAGGGTGATGTTCCTCTGCTCCTGTCTCATTATTGCAAAATTGTTTTTATGGTTAATTACTGTTTCCAGCAACCTTTTAAGTTTATCTGTTTTCCTTGTAGTCTCTTTTTTTGCAGTTTCAAGAGCTGGATTGGTTCAAGTTTCGTGATCTTGTTTCTGCACCATTTTTTGATTTCTAGTGGTTTCATCCACATTTTTGGCAGGAAGACCGGGTTCATCATTTATCTTATGCTCTTCTTTTTTTGGGTGTTGTCGTCTTGCAGCCCTAGATTGCTATTAGGTTTTTTTGTAACTATTAGAATTAGGAACCATCGGCTCGGAGGTTTATTTCTTTTTGATTTTGTAGCTCTGTCGAGCATTAGAGAGCTAAAGGTTCCTATTAAGGACTTTGTAACCATTTATTTTATATTAACGCGTAGGCCGCACAGTGAGTTTTAACCCAAAAAAAAAAAGTTGGAACAGAAAGAAAAAAGCAACAAACAATAAGAACTAAGAGAAAGTCCTCGAAATAAAAATGAAAAATGCGACATGGAATGAAGATGGTCTTTCCATCTCCAATCTTTAATGTTTCTTGACCTCCTCCTAGAAGAAAGTTCTCCTCCTCCCTCTTCTCTATCTTGACTAAGCATGATGTGAGGATTAATTAATAAAATAAGTAATCAATTAATTAAGGACAGCCCAAACACAGCATTAAAGTCAAATAAGCAAACCTTGACGCACGAAAGCGATCAAATAAAAAAAAATGAACTTGATGACTTGCAAGAAATTTACCTTGCCAAGTGGAAATATAAAGCAAAATTTAATGACAGCTTGTCTTTTAAGTATTAGTAATTAAGCCTTATGACAACTGCTGCCTCTCTGAAATCATGATCTTATTTTATAATTTTCGTTGACTTTTCTGATTATGTTAAGTTGAACTATTAATATAGAGGTTGTAACTTTAATTTATAATTTTGATTAAATTATATTTTTTCATTTGTGTTGATAAGTTAAACATATGCATTAAATAATTTATAAAAATGAGATTATCCTAAAATATTAAGACTTTGTTTGGGACGGCTTTCTTACTGCTTCTTAAAACAACTTTTTAGCACAAAAATTAAAACTTTTTACTGAAAAATTGTTTCAAGAAGCAGTAAGAAAACCGTCCTACGACAAAGACTATATTATTCCACCACATTAAAATATGTATAAACCAATAATATTTACCA